CATACCCCAGGCACAGGGCCCTACTCTTTAGTCACCAGGAGGCCCCCTACAAATCCTCCCATCCCATCCACACAGGGCCCTGCTCCGTACCCAACTAGGCGCCCCCTATAACACCCCCCCCCCATACCTCTATGGGCCCTACTCCGCACGCAGCCGAGGGCCGCCCTACAAGCCCCCTTCCTCCCAGCCCTTCGCAGGGCATCAAACCAGGAGCCCCCACCCAGGGCTCCCCAGCGTCCCCCGACAAGCGGTGCCCGCCCCCAGGAGCGCTGAGCCCAGGCCCCGGCCCAGCCAGGGCTCCCCGCGGGCCGCTCTCACCTGGCAGCTCTCGCTCGCCTTGTCGGGCTCGCAGAAGCTGACGGGGGCCAAGCCGGGCAGGTAGAAGGCGGCGCAGAGGGAAGCCGAGCAGCCCAGCAGCAGGATCCCGGCAGCCAGCAGCCTCATCGTCCCGCCTGCTGGGAAGGGAGGAAAGCCCGAGCCGGGACCCGACGAAGCTGCACCCAGCTCCAGTGCAGGGGCCGAGCTCAGCGCTTGGCGGGGCGGGGCGGGGCGGGGCGGCGTCACAATCGCGCTACCCGGCGCCTGCGCGCCTCGGCCTCCCGCCACGGCACCACATGATGAGGCCCCGGGCGCCATCTTGAGTGCGGGCAGCGCAACCCTTGCGCGCGACCTTGTGCCTGAGGTGGAAGAAGGAACAATGGCCCCGCCCCCACGTTATGACGCCAAGCGCCTCCTCAGGTGGTTGCCTGACACCTTCCTCCAATCTAGGGGCTGGATTCCAAAGGCAGTGGCCGTAGGCTCTGTCTGTGTCCCCCATACGCTGACTTTCCACCACCCAGCCCAAAGAATGGCCTCGGCACAGTCCTGGCATCCCTAGGGCACCATCCTCTCTCACCTCTGCCCTCGCATCCCCACAGTCCTACAGCACCATCTCCTCAGCTCTGGCCTCTCATCCCCATGGCCCTACGGCACCGTCCCCTCAGTTCTTCCCTCGCGTCCCCACACGGTCTTACAGCACCATCCCCTCAGCTCTGCCCTCACATCCCCATGGCCCTACGGCACCGTCCCCTCAGTTCTTCCCTCGCGCCCCCACACGGTCTTACAGCACCATCCCCTCATAACTGTCCTCACATCCCCATGGTCTTACAGCACCATCTCCTCAGCTCTGGCCTCTCATCCCCATGGCCTTACAGCATCATCTCCTCAGCTCTGCCCTCACGTCCCCATGGCCTTACAGCACCATCCCCTCAGCTCTACCCTCACATCCCCATGGCCTTACAGCACCATCCCCTCAGCTCTGCCCTCACGTCCCCATGGCCTTATAGCACCATCCCCTCAGCTCTGCCCTCATGTCCCCATGGCCTTACAGCACCATCCCCTCAGCTCTGCCCTCACGTCCCCATGGCCTTATAGCACCATCCCCTCATAACTGTCCTCACAGCACCATCTCCTCACCTCTGCCCTCGCATCCCCATGGCCCTACGGCACCATTCCCTCAGTTCTTCCCTCGCATCCTCACACGGTCTTTTACAGGACCATCCCCTCAGCTCTGCCCTCGCGGCCCCATGGCCCTACAGCACTGTCCCTTCAGTTCTGCATCTCCATGTCCTCATAGCACCATGTCCCCATGGCCTTACAGCACCATCCCCTCAGCTCTGCCCTCACGTCCCCATGGCCTTACAGCACCATCCCCTCAGCTCTGCCCTCACAGCACCATCGCCTCACATC